TCCTGAACTGGTGTGACCTTGCTATTCTGATGCAGGCTTCCATAATTTCCTGTTTTGGCTACTGCAATAAACTATACATGAGACAGATTCAGGTGGGTAGCCATGTTGGTCTGAAGCAGCAGAACAAAGTTTGAGTCCAGTGGCATCTTTAAGACCAACAGTTTTATTCAAGGTATAAGCTTTCGTGCGCATGCACAGTTCTTCAAATCTGAAGAAGTGTGCATGTACACGAAAGCTTATCTCCCTTATAAATAACAGCCAAATGGTGGTGGAACTTCTCTAGAACATTCCACATGCTCCAAAATCAGTTCGCTCTCTGATCTGTCATTCAGAGGGTCTCCCTATCCACTGGCTGCTTTGCCTGAGCCCTGAGTCCTGCCTCCAACATTCCTCTCCCCTCCATAGCCAGTCAGAACACAGAGGTTACTTGCATATGCAGCCTCATTGGCCTCTGCCTCGGAACACAGAGGTCGTTTGCATATGCGACTTGATTGGCTTTTGCCTCTAACATTCTAAACAGTTTTGCTCTTCTGAGGTAAAATGTGTCCAATCTCCAGGTGAGGGCTGGAGATCACTCAGAATTACAACTGCTTTCCAGATGGCAGAGATCGGTTCCCCTGGAGAAAATGGTGGGCTCTGTATCCTTATATGCTGCTGAGGTGGCCCCCGTATGACAGCCAATGTGATGTAGCAGTCAGGGCTTCAGAGCACGGGAGAGGCTGCAGGTGTGTGGGGGGTGGAAAGCTGAAGAGTGAGGGGGAAATAAAGATAGGTTGATGATTGGCTGGGAAGGAGATAGAGTTGCCAACTCCAGGTGGGAAATTCCTGGAAATATGAGGGATGGAGCCTGGAGAAGGTGAGGTTTCAGGAGGCGTGGGACCTCAGATAGGTACAAAGCCATAGACTCCACCCTCCAAACCAACTATCCCCTTCTGGGGAACCATCGTTGCCAATCTCCAGGTGAGGGCTGGAGATCACTCAAAATTACAACTGTTCTTTAGGTAGCAGAGGTCAGTTCCTCTGGATAAAATGGTGGACTCGGTGTCATTATACCCTGCTGAGGTCACCAAGGCAAATTGACACTGAATGTCCAAGGCCAGGGCACCCACCCAGAGCCTCTTTCTAGAGGCCGTTGTATTTATTTCCACAACAAGCCTTTTTCCTAGTACCTTGAATAAAACTCTGTTGGTCTTAATGGTACCACTGGATTCAAACATTGTTATACATGAGACAGCCCTTGAAGGTTACTTAAAACTACAGCTGTTGCAGAATGCAGCCACCCATCTGCTATCTAGTGTCAGGCAACATGCTTGTCATACAGCCTGTACTATGCCCATGATATTGGCTGGCTATCAATTTAAGGAGCTGTTTCCTACCTTCATTGCCCTTCATCGGCATATCTGAAACTGACAATCCCTCCCCATACAGAGTTTTATTCAAGGTATAAGCTTTCATGTGCATGCACACTTCAGATACATGCACACGAAAGCTTATACCGTGAATAAAAGTCTGTTTGTCTTAAAGGCACCACTGGACTCAAACTTTGTTCTGCTACTTCAGACCAACACAGCTACTCTCCTGAATCCCGGCCCATGTGTGTCCATGCTGTGAGACTGGGACACAAGCCCTTTTGCCAGTCCTGGAATCTGGTAAATATGAATGGAGGCAAGAACTAGGGTTTTTGGTGGCTCTGCATCCCTCTTTATATCTCACCGGGGATGTAAGACATTTTTCCTTTGTGGGGCATTTGGCAAAGAGAGTAGCCGCTTTGTAATTTGATGGCTTGTGCTCTTTAAGTAACCCCTGTGTTACAGTTCATATCGCAACTGTATTGTTAATTGGATTGGAGTCATTTATTGTGAAACCACTTTGAACACAGGAAAGGCAGTACTGTAAGTGTTTTAAAGTAAATAAAAAGCTTGTGCCATTCTCAAGATGGAGAGGAGTGATTGAGCAAGCAAGTCTCCTGGCAGAAAGCATTCTGTAACGGTAGGGGCAGCTGTAATGGCCAGCCATACATACACAAGCAGTGATACCTTCAGAGAACGGTCTAACCAGCTTGAATTCACATGGGAAAAGACCCCCACCCCATACACTCAAGACCACAGGATTAGGGCATTCGAAACTAGTACACTCAAATGAACCTGGAAACATACTGGTGGCTGACAAAATTCTAGTAGAACAGTTACAATATGATTCTGTTGACTTGTGCCAGTCAAAAATGAGCAGCAGCATCCTGAACTCATTGAAGTTTATGGACAAGTCTTGAAGTACTGCTCCACAAACAGGACACTGCCATTACAGGTCACCAGAGCATGGACGGCATTCCAAGATCCAGTAGTCTCCAGAAACAAAACGAGTTTACCAGATCCTCCCATCCCTGCAGAGATGGAAGATCACTGAAGAGATGAAAGAATGCTGTGACATCCCAGTCTCACCTGGTGATGATCTGTCCATAAGAAGAAAGGAGAAGAAGGGGAGACTGGATTGATACCCAGCCCTTCACTCGAAGTCTTGGAGTGGCTTACAGTCTCCTTTCCTTTCCTCCCCCCACAACAGGTACCCAGTGAGGTAGGTGGGGCTGAGAGACCTCTTTCGAGGACTGCCCTTGAGACAACAGCTCTGAGAGAACTGTGACTGACCCAAGGTCACACCAGCACCTGCATGTGGAGGAGTGGGGAATCAAACCCGGTTCTCCCAGATTAGAGTCTGCACTCTCCAGCTCGGAAGGAAGGTTCCCATACCCCATCATCACTACCTGACTGTGTGCCATACTGGATGTCTGTAACAGGATACACACTCATACAGCTGCATGGTTATCATGGCAGCCATGAAGCCCTGAGCTATACCAGACAGCCCCCTTCCTGAATGCTGGTCCTCCAGAACTAACAGCTAGGGAATCTCCAGCACTCCTTCCAACACTACCCTTGTGGACTCAATAAGGGAGAGTGGTTCAGCCCCAAGAGACGTTAACAGAATCCTTGCTATCGCCATATCACAGTGAAGTGTCAATCACCTGCGCCAATCAAATCAGCAAAACCAGGCTACAGACAGACAAGGTAAAGGGCTCTATATATGTAGGGCATTCACCAGATATACAGAAACAGAAGTCTCTGTAAATCAGCCCACCCCACAATGTCCTCGACCGAATACGCTCCAGGATTATGCAACGTAAAGAGCAGCTGACTGTCAGTTAGGGGAGGCGGATTATTAGCCTGCTCAAGTCCCTAAGAGTTTACAGACTCCAGGAGGAGATTTCCAAATCCCCCCTGGGATTTTCCTTATAGACTCTCAGCTAGTTCCTTCTAACTGTAAAGGGGCTGGAGGCGATGCCAGTCATTAGAGGGGGACATGCACACTGGAGATTAAAATCTCTGCATGGAGGGGGAATCCCCCAGAAAGCAAGAAAATGTGACTTTTCCCTCCAGCATCCCTCTAAACAATAACACCCTAGCAACAAAAATGCAGCGCACAGGCAATTAAGCTACAGCTAGGGGAAAGAGACTTGGTCTCTCTAGTCTTCCCACGGTGTTCTTCCTAGTGCTGGGATTCCCTCACACCACTAAGCTAGCAAAGGAAGGAGTAAAACAGCATTAAGTGTCATCAGGGAAATTGCCCCAGAACACTGCAGAGATGACAGCTTCTTGTTGGTCGTCAGTTACGGGGAAAGTGAACTGCTTGTTCCTCCCCTGAACAAGCTATGAGACAACTGTCCTATACCACCACAGAAGTCAGTAGAGGGGCTCTTGGAAGGTTCCCAAAGGAACAGCAAGCTGTTTTCCCTCCCTCCACTCCTCAACAAAAACTGTTCTATAGGAGAGCCCACCCCCTCCCTTTACACTGCAGAGCTTAAGGAAAACAACTGAGAAGTCCTAATACCGAGTTCTGCAATGTTTATAGAAACATGAAAAATATACCAAACCAGGGCCAATGGCCTAACCTAAAGCCTGGGTTTCTGTATGTTGGTGACTTCCCCTGGCATGCAGAAAAGATTAACACAAGAAACCCAAAGACAGCCTGAGGAAGACCGATCATGCTCACTTGCCCTAGAGGCACCACAGACCATTGAGGGCAGCTGAACATCAGCTGTACTGAGGAAACAGGGCTGCTCAAACTTCCAGCAGTTTATAGTGTTCTGGAGGGCAAGATCTGGGGCTGGAAGAAATTTGCCAATAATTCATCTTGTCCCGCACACATAGCGATCCTTCACAAACCTGCTCCCATGCCTGTTTCTCATGCCTACTATCAGAAACTCAATAAGGATAGTTTGGCGGATTGACCCCACTGGACTCAACGAAACCTAGAAGTGCTTAGTGTTCGGCTGGATTATGCCTGCACTGCATCCAACAAAACACGTGTCCACAAATCTTGTCTCACAACTTCTCTTAGAACAGAAAAATATTTGATATAAAAGGTTCTACAAAAATGCTACCTTCATCGCAGATTGAACCACCTACTTCCCCCTCCCCCAAAGCCCCAATCTTGAAAATCCTTGCATACATTGCCTAATGTTTCACATGGGACTGGGATTCTTTTTTCACATGCTTAAAAGATGCTACATTAAATCAATTTTCAAAGCAGGAAAGATTATCATGCAGCCAGGGCCAAGAGTTGTTCTGCTGCTGAGAAGTTTTATTGTCCTCCTCTTCTGTCTTTATCAAATTAACACTCAAGACAGTGGCATACCAAAGCTACATCTTCATTAATTCCTGACAAGTGTAAGAGCGTTTAAATCAGATACACACAGATTTTAACTATACCTTGGAGAGAAGCAAAATGCAAGATATGCAAACAAATGCCAACACCTGCCACATGGAGAATCCATGTTCTGTCTGCATTTAAAAATAAAACACTGAACAATTCAAAGTAGCCATGCTAAATTGTCCCTTGTGACTTACTTACAAACATTGCAACTGAGACAGGTTTTTGCTAAATTTTTACTCCCGTTTTCTGAGATTTAAAAACAAACAATTGAAAACAAAGAAACTGGATCTAGCTACCTCATTAGTGTTCCAACGGTGCCTCTCTTTTGGTAAACTGGAACATTTTGGTAGACATTCAAGCAGCTTTTTCGGTAAAAAGATTTTTACATGACTTCCATTGCTGTTCCCATGATCATCTAAAAGGGGTGAAAAAAAGTGAAATGCTGTCATCAAACACAAGATTATTTGGTCTGTACAATGTCCTGGAATGAAAAATTCAAAGATGGAGCCCAGCTGTACAAAACTTTTAATTGGTAGTAACTGTGTAAGGATAGTATCCCTTTTCTGTATTGTTATATAATTTTTTAAAAACAAGACATTTAAATTATTTGACATATGCCTTCTCTTTGATACAAGAAAGCCGGCTTGTACATGAAGGACAAGAACATGCAGCCTGATAATGTCACATTAATGCTTTTTACCTCTCACAACTATAAGGAAGCCAAGGCCAACAGCTAACACAGAATTAACGCTTTTGCCTCAATTGTGTTCTCACCCCTTGAACTCACCAAGGTCAGCAACTGCGTGCAAGAAATGAAGGGCTGGCATCTTTCTCAGTCTGTAACTCAACCACCATCAAATAAAGCTTCAGTTAAAGCCTAGTCTTAGTAGACTAAGCTATATGAGACCACCTAATATACGCGTGTAGCCTCTTCGCTTTTACTAATTTTCCCAGCCTCTTTCACAGAGATATTCCGAATCCTATCAAGAATCTTAGAGGTCTTTTCAACTAGCTTCTCTTGGGTTAGGAAACCTTTATTCTTTCTACATTAAAGCAGTGCAACTTCAGTTCTAGTTCAAGACAATGCAGGACACAAATCAAAACACAAGGGCAGTTCTAATCTTGTGCAAAATAATTTCTCCCATTCACTACTTCCAGAAAATTCATGTATCATATAGCTCAGATAACATCCATCAGCTCCAATAGGCTGCACTGATATATGGCCCTTCCTAGAGGCAAAACAGGCAGCCAAGGCCCAGAAAATCCTATATGTACCTGGTATTTGAGATATTGAATGGCTCAGTGCCACTGCACTGATTGCCAAGAATGCTGCAAATGGTTGGCATAAACTCAGCAGCTTTGCCAGAAGGTATACAACCAATGAGCACCCCACCTTGGTTCCATGACCATGGGCCCCACGGGTGCACAGGGTTTACTGTGGTCTTAACACTTTCCAAATCTTGGACTCACCTGTACTACCCAGGCAACAGTGTGGAACCCTCTGAGCTAAGCAAGAAAACAGGAAGTCATGTGACATCAGCATCATGTGACAGGAAGATGAGAGACCAGAATCATGACATCACAATTTGGGAGGGGAACTCCATCCTGCCAAGCACCTACAGAACATTGGCAGAGCAAGTGTGTGTGGCCAGACCAGTGAATGAGTATGGCAGCAAGGGAGTGGCTTTTCTGAACCTACTTGTGCTAAAAACAATCCTCTCCACTACCAAATGACCTTGCCTGAGCATCCTGCTGCTCCTATCAGCACAAATGCCAAGGGCAGCAGGTGCATGCACATTAGCAGCAGGTCACTCCAAAAGGCAGCAAAAATGGCATCTGTACGAAGGCTTGTGACTTAGCAGGATACTGTCTTCAACCCACATGAAGGTCCTGATCCATAGGCTGAAGACCACTCTGCTACAGTATGGCCATCTACAATGATAGGCAGAGATGCAAGCCCAACTGGTGATGGCACAGGAATATTTTAAGCCTGCAGCAAGTATGTTTTTTACCTCAGTGACTAAAGAACACTTACTATTCAAGGTGTTTCATAATTTAAGTCTCAAGCAATATAAACAGGAGTTTAATATGGACAACCTGACAATGTATTCTTCTAACATTAACCTGACTAATCAACAGGATTTTCTGGGTTTTTTTGCAAATTTGAGAATACAAGCTAGAACACTGCATCTGTAGCAACCAGATCACAAGCTGATGTTTCTAACATTAAGAGGGTTTTTAATTTAAAAAACCACATTAATATTGAAGAGACTTAAAGTAAACCTCAACCACATGCACACACAACTCCAAAAAACCATCACCAATACAACTGATGGAAAATTAAAACTTCTTGTGTGTTCCACTGAGAAAGATGGTTACTGGACATGAGTTTCAATATATCAACTAAAAGATCTTTTCCTATTTAGAAAGCCAACCTGGGATATACAGCCAACAGTATCACATTGAATTTACAGAAATTATATGATTAATGAGAATCAAGCCTTCCGGGGTAATTTAAAAGTATTTGATTTTTTTTTTTTCAAAAGAGCAGGCAAAGCTGGGGAAGGAAGCAAGAAGGGAAAATTAGAGGGATTCTAGTTTTTATGCCAGATACTGACATTGCACACAGATGTCACATTCACCAGGATAGAGCAAACACTATTCACATAGCTTCTAAGCCTATTAACGCCACACAGCGATCTAATGATGGAAGGGACCAGGGAAAGGCCTCTCATTTGGCTCTCGACAGTGATATCCGTGTTTTTAGCTTCCTAGATCTTCTGCGTATTCTTCACCTTGGTGTGGTGGTAAGAGACACAGATACCAAATAGTCACATTCATTTTCAAATAGCTACCCTCAGACACCTTTCAGACTGGCAAGCAGAATGCATTTTAAGTCATATGACTTTATACTCCAAAATAAACAGTTTATGTGCACAGTGAGCAAGATACAAGCGCTGACTGACATTGGGGGAGAGAACAGCAAGACTCATAACAAGCAACACAATTCAAACTGAACCAGGAGCCCTAAGACAAACTATCAAGGTACTGTACAAATTAACTCTTTCAGAGGTGGTAATTAAAACCATTGAACTGTTTTCCAACTGAAAGCAATGGGACTAGAGCAGTGGTGGCGAACCTATGGCACGGGTGCCAGAGGTGGCACTCAGAGCCCTCTCTGTGAGCACGTGTGCCATCACCCCAGCCAGGCCCAGACCATCATTAAAGTGTCGAATTCTCTGCCAAATAATTTTAAGTAAATGAAAGCATTTGGGATTGCTTTCCTTACTTTGTTTGGATCATCTTAAGTTAATGTATGAGTTGTTTTTTTTCTAAAGTAAAACCTCAGTATTCAGGTTAAATTGCCGTGTTGGCACTTTGCGATAAATAAGTGGGTTTTGGGTTGCAGTTTGGGCACTCGGTCTCTAAAAGGTTCGCCATCACTGGACTAGAGTGCTGAACTTTGGCAGGACAGCACCCTAAAATCTGCGGATAATTCATCTAATAGGTTTTGTTCCATGCAGTCTAAAGTTCAAACGGAAACCAAACAAGAAGACCAACTAATAAAAGTCCATAAAGAGTTCTGAATTAATTACATACTATAAAGGCTTGGTAATTTTATGGCCTCATTCACATTCCTTGCACTTCATCCTCCCAAAGGAGGCAACATGGATCATAAAATTTAAAAAGCACACAACAGCAAATCACACACCCATACCCCCTCCCCACCCACGTCTTTTTTTTTTTAAGTGGTTCTTAAATCTTCTGGTGATTCAAAAGGGTGAATGGGAAACTCCGGGTTTCTGGCTGTCAAAGTTCCTGGTGCAATGCATTTGAAGTTCTGGATTTTACATCCCACCACAGAGTCCCAGAAGCCAGACACTGAGGGCAGAAAACAACACTGAGACTGTGTGGTGTGGAGAGATTGGACAGGGAGAAGTTCTTCACCCTCCTTCATAATACTAGAACCCAGGGTCATCCACTGCAGCTGAAGAGTGGGATATTCAGGACAGACAAAAGGAAATACTTTTTCACACAGCGCGTAGTTAAATTGCAGCATTCGCTGCTGCAAGATGTGGTGATGGCCACCAACATGGAAGACTTTAAAAAGTGGAGTGGACAAATTTATGGAGGTTGGGGTTATCAATGGCTACTAGTCATGGCAGTTACTAATCATGATGGCTATCCAGTCCTTCCAGTACCAGTACCTCTTTATACTAGCTGCTGGGGCATGGGGGTGGGAAGATGCTGTTGTGGCTGGTTGGCCACTGTGTGAACAGAATGCTGGAACTAGACGGGCATTTTATCTGATCCAGCATGACTCTTCTTAGGGACATTTCAAGCACTACAACAAGAGTTTTCAGTGTGTGTGCTAGGGTGCAGACGTCTTGTCCGTGCAAGCAAAGCTCCATGCAGCTGCCATATGATACAGTAGTGACTGCCACGTAATCCAGCCAATTGCTCACATTATTGGACCCCTGTGGAGTCCTAACCATGGGGAAACTTGTTTTTGCCAGCAGTTCCTTCAGCACCACATGTGCCTCCAACAACTGCATACCTCTTCCATTGCAAATCCATTGCAAACCCACCATAGGATTGTTTCTCTCGTTCTCCTGTGTGGGCCAACTGCACTCTTCAGGTTACCACCTTCTAGTAGGTTCCCCTGCTTAAGGTGACATACGTTAAACAAAGTAACATGTTTGGCCAGTAAGGCAAAGTATTACAATCAGACATTGTAATATTTACAGTGACATGCTTGGCATCTACTAGAGCACCTCCTTCTCTATAATGGCCCCTTACCTTGCAGACCAGAGCCAGTTTGGTATAGTGGTTAGGAGCGCAGACTCTAATCTGGGTGAACTGGGTTGAGTCCCCATTCCTCCACATGCAGCTGCTGGTGTGACCTTGGGTCAGTCACAAATTCTCTCAGAGCTATTCTCTCAAGAGCAGTCCTTGAAAGAGCTCTCTCAGCCCCACCTACTTCACAGGGTGTCTGTTTTGGGCAGAGGAATGGAAAGGAGGTTGTACTCCACTCTGAGACTCCAAGTGAAGGGTAGGGTATAAATCCAATCTCTTCTTCTTCTGTGAACTGGAAAGGGGAGCCCTGTGTTTAGACATTCTGGAAAGGTGCTATAAGGACATTTTATTCATGAAGGCTTTTACTTGGGTTTAAGCTGCAGGCACTTTCTTGAGGAGGCGGATTAATCAGGTTTCTTTGTATTCTGTATGTTTTTGAGGTTGGAAGAATTCTGAGTCACCTTGAGACACAAGGGGAAAGTGGGATATAAATATTTTAATAACTAGGTAAAGGTAAAGGTTCCCTTGCTCGAAAGCCAGTCGAATCCGACTCTAGGGTTGCTGTGCTCATCTCCGTTTCAAAGCCGAAGAGCCAGCGCTGTCCGAAGACATTTCCGT